GGGCTAGGAACTGTGGACATGGGTCCGCTATCAAAACACCTATACGCCATGATGTTCATTTCGGTTCTTGCTGACCTAAAGGAACCGCTCCTAAAACAGTGCTTAAATCAATTGTTTATTTTTGCAGCTAATGCATTTAATCGCTGGTCAGGATAGATCATGACAGCTGGGACACAGTTTCTCAAAACATATGAATTAGTGTACAGGAATCTGTCGTTACTACTACGCAATGGCGACACTGATGCAACAGAGATTTGACAGAAACGTCAATGTCAATAAACTTATATCTGAAAACTGTTTGTGGCGTGTATAATCTATAAAAATTAAACTACAGCTTCCTAACGATATTTGTAATAGAAAAGTCTTACACGAAAAAGTTCTATTTTCGCATTTTTTTTTTCGTAAATTAAAATTCAATTATTATGGATCAAAATATTTTCTCTGGAATGGCCCTGTCCGTGTGCTGTACGATGAGTTAAGTGTAGTAGACCAACCGCGTAAACAAATCGTCGTTGAAAGATAGAAAGATACTTCTCAATTTTTGGGGAATTTTTCAATGCAAAAGTACAAACTAAGAAAAATAGGTATTTAAAAAAAAACTGATATTTTCTTATTATAATAATTAATAGTAATTACCATCTTAAATGCATTGTTGTTATTGCAAGAGTTCGCAAACAAAATCACATCCGTAAGCATCTGTAATTGCCAATTGCGTGCACTAAACAAACTCCATTAAAATATGGAACAAAATGAAATAAAACTTACCATTTCTATAAAAAATGTTAAAATTGATCCCCATTAGCGCGGATGGCACCGACGCACCCAATTTTGGTGAATGTTTTCCCAAATTCCAGGTATTCCCCTAATTGTGTCAGCAGCTTCAAGTATACGGTTTCGCAATTTTTCCACCGTAGCAATTGGAGTATTATAAACCAATAACTTCAAGTTACTCCAAAGATAAAAGTCCATTGAAGTTAGATCGGGTGACCGAGGTGGCCACGGCACAGAACCGATGTTGAAAATGAGTTTCCCTAATCGCGTTAGGATTTTCATCGGCCCATATGTGCATATTATGGAAATTCAGTCCATCACGGGTAAATGTCGCCTCATCTGTTACACAAACATAAGCAGGAAAGTCTACTTGATTGGCACATTGCCGTAAAAACCATCTGCAAAAACGCATTCATTGATCACAATCCGGGGGTAAAATCTGTTGAACTGGTTGCAGATGATAGGGGTGCAACAGCTGGCGCCTTAAGATGCTATGTACGGTACAAGATGAGGTTCCCACTTGCTGTGCGAGTCGTCGAGTACGAATTGTGGGATCTTCGTCAAAATTTTCCAACACTGCATCTTCAACATTAAGGTTCACTTGCTGACCACGTCCATCTCCTCGAGAATAACACTTTCCGTATCTCGCAGCCGGTGAACGCACTGTACGTTTGTATTTGCACCACATACTTCTATACATATACAAAGCATTTTGAAAGGGGGGTGTTGCACTTTGTGTATTATACGCACGCGCTATAATCATTTTCCCATAGGTCGGTTTGCCGGTTAACGTCATTGTCATTTCCGAAGATAGGTTATGAATTTGTATAGAAAAGACAGCTGAAAATGATTTGTCAAACAAAAAAAAAGGAAAGGAAACGAGGCAGACCCATAAAAAACATGGGACCAAGGACCAAGTAGTGGCAGAAGACTTAAAGAAAAGAGGAACACACTGGCATGAAGCGATGAATCTAGCAAAAAATAAAAAAGAAGACAAAATTTGTTTATAAATAAAAATGTTTATCTTTACACCCTCTGGATACTTAAGGTTTTATTGATTGAGGATTTTTATTAATTAAGGGTAATGTATTGATGAAATTGGCTAAAGCAAATTTTTACGTGTCCAATCAGTAGCTAGAAATTCCACATTTTGCTAATGCATGAGACTTCGTGTTTCATGGTGAACTCTTATGCAATATAATAGCAATTTGAAAGAAAAATTGAAAGGATCTCTTTGCAAAACGAACAGTATAGATGTTCTGTCATAATCATCAATTTGACAAGGCGACGTCTCACTGTCATACACTGAACTTCTTGATAGTTATCATATGGATTCTCAGTTTGCACATTTTACATTTTTCTCATTAATCCACATTCTGTTTCATACGCATTTTATATTGCTTTTCAGTCATTACTTTTCCTTTGTACTTTGGATGTTCATTCATGTTTACGGAATAAGCGCAAAGTTGACAGTAATGACAGTTGACCCAACTTTTACCACCACGCCATAACAATGTTGCCAGATTTCATCCATAATTTTACAAGCTCTTAATGAATAAATAGACACTTTTATTCAAATAAAAAGTTAATTGCCGTGCATTAAATACGAAAAATGTATGCAAGCTAATATGTGTTGTATAAATTTCATTCGTATGTATTATATTTAGTTCACTCAAATTAATTTATGTAAGGTTGGTACTACAACGAAACTACCATGTATAAGCATAGGCTTCCCTCCCGCACCACCTGCCCCGCAAGAGATGTATCTGTTATATACTAAAAGGAAACGAGTAGTTTCCCTTTATATATTTTTTGTAAATGTCGCAAGAAATTACTTTTATAACCTGTGAAGTTACAAAGCCCGCTATATATGATACCACATCTTCTACATACAGTGAAAGGTCAAACATGGTTTTTACGTAATTATGTTCAAATAAAGAAACGATACAATGTGGATACCTACTTGTGTTTGGATCACAAACGGGATCAGCTATTTTATTTGAAAAATAATNGTTAAATTTAAAATTATCTCCTTTATACTATATGATATTCTTATTTGATACTTATTTTATATTCAGAGTCTTTGTATTAACAATTTTATGCTATTTTATTGTCTACTATATTTTTATTAATTTTATTTTTGATCTAAAGTTCGGTCAGGTAATATTTCCATTGTGATAATTTTTTGTGTATTTCCAATTTGTTACAATATGTAGTATTATTTATTTGTTATTTATATGTAGGTAGATAACTCGTTATCATTTTTATGTATTTGTACATAATGTGTATTTTTATATGAATTTTTGTGAAGATGTATCGATTTTAAATTTCAAAAAATGTTTGTTATTATATATAAATAACACACTTTTACTCTCTTCTGGATTCCGTTTTATTGTACCCATGTACATTCTCATAAATTACAATTAACAAGTTGTATAATTAGATATACAAAATAATAATTGGTAATTTTGCTCTGTTAATAGTACATCAGTAAGTTATTAAATTTCATTTGAAATAATCCGCTAAATTTTCGAGCTTGCGCAAAATTGACAAAATGCAACATGTACACTTTTTATCCCCTCTTTTTGGGAACAAGGTCATTAATGTAAAAGATATGCAGTGATTGGTATATGTATATATTGGTATATGGGGGGTGACATTGTGGCCATCGTTTCCTGTACAACCTTGTCGACGCGAGCGCATTTTCTCCGGCTGCACGATATCGACACGTTCGGAAATAGTCAATACATTGTCTTCAACGTAAAACTAATTTGTGCACAAACTAAAAAATTAAGCAATGTAAGAAATAAGAATCTCGTTTTTTTATGTAATCGGCACGCTATTCTTATGTTTTACTTCTTTATAAAAATTACACTGTCACTATCGTGGAATTACAAATTAAAAACTTTTGTCTGGAATCTTTCACTTTTTAACACTGATGGGTCGATGGACGATGCTTAATATTTAATAATTTAGTGAATAATTAATTCAATAGAAATACAAAATCAGTTGACTGCACAAATTTTTTGACAATGTAACCTAACCTTCTATTAGTATTACTACCTAGTATTAGATTATACCGACTTCAATTATTATAAGGTTGCATCTCGGGTCGCATAAAAACATTTCCAAAGTTTTTAATAAATAACACAGGGTCGGCCTTCATTTTCGCTGAATAAATAAACTAATTTACAAAAAAAAACGCGAAGCTAAAACTTTTTCGTATGACTTTTCTATTACAAATATCATCAGGAAGCTGTAGTTTAATTTTTATAGAATATACACGCCACACCCTGTATATTAAATTTCGAAGAGTTACAAAAGAAATAACTACAAGGGATACAAATGTATTTTGTATATACGGTTTGGATATAGTGAATTTTCGAAGAACTACAAACAAAACTCTAACTCCTTTTTCTTGCCACTATAAACAAACATTCGTTCACTACAATACGTTTATATTTATATAACAAACGTTTTTCCATTGAAATCAACTGGTAGATTAGAATGCCTTCAAATTTTATGTATTTTTTAAAGCTCCCATTACTTTTTTATTAGAGCTACTATAAATAAAAAAAATGTTATTACAAATAACTACATACCATAATCTATGGGAATTGAAAAAAAAAATAAAGGTAAGGGTCAGATTCACATAGCCAATATCGCTATTATCGCTAAGATTTTACGACATTTGTAACTAACTATTTTTCTATCCTTCTGTATAGAAAACGGTCTTCTGTTAAAAACTTTAACCTGTAACACATCAATATGATGAATTAGGTGCTCTCTTTATAATACATATTAAAAGTTGTAGTCACTAAAGCAAACAAAGGGATACGTACAATTTTTGAACATAAAGGCCATGGAAATCGGGTAGAGATAAGAATTATATACGGTGGGGTAGACTTCATCAAATATTTTATGAACATTTTTGTTTTTTGCTTTTAAACCAATACACTTATTCCAAAATACGAACAATGGTTCAAAATGGAACACATCGTATTGTACAATTCAAAATCAGAATTCTAATTTCTTATATACCTTTTATAATGCAAAAAGTTGTTAGCTGTAAGTTGTAAAAAGGTCTACTTAAAAAGCAATACACAGATTTACTTACTGAACATGCAGTGCGACGAAGAGAAGTGCGGTAGCAGAAGAGAGAAGAACAGATATGGAAAAAAGTGACATGAGGAGAAAAGATTGACACAGATATTCATCAATTTCCTTACCACCGGACATCTGCGGCTCCCCCAGCTGTACATACAACAGAACGTCTTTTTCGTAGCTGTCCTCCTCGATGATCGTCAGAGTAATGACTTTCCTGAAACAAAATTTAAAATTCAGATTTACCCCAGGGCGTTTAGTCGAGTGTTTTTCCACCACTTCGAGTGAAACGAATGTGGTGGTTCTGGACGGTGGTGAAGTACTCTTGCGTATTAAAAAAAATAATTTTTGTGCGAGAACGTTATTACACATTAATGGACCTTTCGGGTTAATTACAGAAAAAAATGTTTTGAAATAGTACACAGAAAAGGTTTGGGATATTATTTATTTAAATTAATATTCTCTACTTGCATCTGCGGAAAACATTAATGTCATAATTTTAAAGGGCTTTAAAGTACTGAATTAGTAAAATTTTATTTTATAAAGACAATAAGCAGTTTAGGTCAGCCATTTTTTATAGTTCACAGCTATACCATGAAATATTTTATAAATATCACTGAAATTGGTATTGCGTGGGACTATTTATTTGGTAAGCATCTTTATTTTATGTGAGCGTAATATATTACTAGAATACATAATTAGACACAGGATGTTATTTTTCTGAATCTATATATCTTTAACATAACATTTACATTTGTTAATTTAAAGGACATTTGTTTCTTAAACAAAGGTTGTTCGAAAAAAAGAAAAAAAAATAAGAAAAATAAATGTATGAATGTACTAAATTAACAACAACCTATTAAGAAGCATAATAGGTACTACATAAACAGTTTTTTCAAATTTTTTGACTGGAATCGGTTTACAAAATATAAAAACACAAAAACGATCTCTTTTTAATCGAAATTCAAAGCAGATATTAAAATTTCACAAGTGACAAAAAATACTTCAAAATTAATTTTGTGCCGCTAAATGTATATCAGAGACTAGTAGGTGTACCTAAAGATTTATGCCACAAATAAATACAGGGTGTTTCTTAATATCGTAAAATATTGAAGGGAGTAATTCCTCATAAGAACCTTTTTTGACCAAAATTAGAATTTAATGTACACTTTACTGTTTTAAATGGAAGAACTATTGCAAAAGAGGTATCTAATTTTGTCACTGGATTCTATATTCCCTCAATTGAGTTTATACTAAAAATTGAATAATATTAATAGTTTTTATCAGTTCTGTTCTTCTCAGAGTATGCTCTTTTTAAAATTTAGTTCCAAATTAAACAATTTTAATAAATAATAATATGATTGTGATTAATAAAAAATTACAACTCATGTCATATTACCTCATTTATTAGTAATACAAATAGTTTGAAATGAAAACACATAAGTCAACAAATATTTTTCCATGAAACTTCCCACAAACCTAACCGAGGAGACTCAGAATACGGTAACGCAGTCCGATTTGAAATAAACTAATAATTTTTTGTTAATTTTAAAAAAGAAAAAATAATAATAAGTACACTTTGGTCACTGGAAATGCTATATGACATAACAGGGTTTTTGTAAAAACGAAAATAGGACAATAAATATTTTTAAATGTGCAATGGGTCACCAGTAGTAACTAGAAATGTCAGCTTATTTTAAAAAATAAGTACGCTACTGTTTTTTCCATTTTCTTTTTATATGTATAAGTTCTAGGGTCTAACAAAAGATCTAGGTACTTTTTTATTTGGCTTACTTTATATTTACTTTAACTAATATCATAGGAATAATAATTAAAATAGCCCGAAAATTCTTCTTTCGGTATTTTAAATTACTTATGCTTAATACAGAATCGTAACAATTTAACTGTGCAGTTACACGGCACAAATATCTGTGCAAACCAAACGATTTTCTATCTACACATTATTACATATTGTTACGTGTGTAGCTAATATTTATTAATTTAAATGTTAATATCCTATAAAAACAATTAACAGAAGCATACTGTTGGTGGCAGATTGATATTTCAAAATGCTTTTTAGCAAAAATATCTGTGTAAATAAAAATTAAATGCTGTTAGTTCGTAAACGCATCATTTGAGTATGGCTGGACCAATTTTTTTTAATGTTCGTAATAGTCCGAATCAGCTTTTTAGGGAAAGAAAAATTGGAAAATTTTCTCGGAAAATTAGAAAATTCTGGAAAATTGAAAGTGCTTTTTTCTATAGCATTTTTGTATGAACTCAAGACCATAACTCACGATTCATTTGAATTGAAATTGAAATTTGGACAGGACAACGTCTGTCGGGTTAGTTAGTTATGAAATTGTATTTTTTTTTCTGTTGCACACACTTTTTCACCAAACTATGAGAATTATCCGTTTTTTGAAAACCTAGAAGTAAAAGAGACTATATAGACCGATCAAAATAACTCATTTAGAGGAAAAAAAAAGAAAATTGTTATCTGGACTTTTATAAGTGGAAATGGTTAAGGGGCTTATGATAAACGAAAAAAAAAAAAAATGAATGCGTGAGCAGGGGCGGCGGAGGTTTGATTTGGAGGGTTAAAAAGTTATGAAAATTTTTATCATTGGGATTTCTGGCGAAAGTCGACGTCAAACAAAGAAGTATCTAATACAAAAGTTGTAGATCATGCAAAAACCTACAACTTTTGTAGAGGTCACTTTTTAACATAACCTCAAAATTTCCGAGAAAAGGCGAAAAACAAGTTTTTTCTGATTTTTCGTTTTTTATTTCTCATTTCCGCAAAAATAATTTAATTTTGACGAAACTTGGTGAAAGTATACCTTTCTCTATCTTAAATAACCTCAAATTTCTTAGATAAAAAAAATTAAGAAGTTTCTGAGATATTAATTTTTTTTGTCCTGAAACACTTTCTTTTCAAAGAAAAATTCTACTTAAAAAAATCATCGTACAGAATTCTACCGGTAACATTTTTTTCGTTTTGACATATACTTTTTGGTGAAATAAAAAAATTTGTAATCACAGCTCAAATACATGCTCAAAAATGCAAAAAAGTAAAAAATTACTTGCAACAATGAATTTTTCAGTAATTGTTGATAATTTGTTTAAATTAAAAAAACATTCAAAAACTGATTACACCATTCAATTCTACGGAAAAAAATAAAAAACTGTCTCATTGTTTGACCCAAAACTATTTTTATACAGTATTGCCATAAACATAAGTCGAATAGTGAATAAATAAAATAAACAATATTTTTTTCCGTAGGATCGATTAGTGTACTTATTTTTTTTTAAGTTTGATATAGATATACAGTGTGTCCAAGATAAGGATGAGATAGCATTAGGATCTAGGAAACGGTATAAGATACGGGGTGGCTCAAATTAGAATACCTAACAATATGCTGTTTAAAAAGTTTTAAAATTCCGGGTAGTTCCGGAGATAAATCCCGAAATTGTTTAATTTTTTCTGGCTTTATTTGAAAACGAATTTTAAAATAAATTACATATTTACAATGCCACTTGTTTCGCACATTTTCCTGAGTTGAATGATATTACTATTGTAATCGCTTAAAACGTTTTTAGCTTGTTTTAGCTATAGTTTAAAATATTTCCTGAATACGGCTCTGAACGCTTTCAAAATATCTATTGGATGAAGTCATAGCAGTATAAAAGTCAATACCGCACAATATCCAACAATTTTTTACTAATACTATAATACTAATTAGAAATAATAAATTATTTCATAAATTGGTATTATTTTTTTATTAGGTACAACTTTTTAAATTATGGATTAAAAAAATTGTTGGATATTTCGTGCTGCATTGATTTTTATTTTCTCCCCTCTCTCTCTCTCTCTCTCTCTCTCTCTCTCTCTCCTCCATAGATACTGGTATTTTGAAAGCGTTCAGAGCCGTACTCGGGAAAAATTTTAAATTGTAGCTAAAACAAGCTAAAAACCTTTTTAAGCGATTACAATAGTATCATCTAATACAGAATTAAAAATGACTAGATTTTGTCATAAAAATAGCAGGGATATATTTAAAAAAATTAATCTGATGATGGCCCGTCGAAACATGGGATTAAAAAATGTTGACGCCATTGGATAGAGCAAAAAAAGTGGCAATGTAAATATGCAATTTATTTAAAATTCGTTTTCAAATAAAACCAGAAAAAAATTAAACGATTTTGCAAAATTTCGGGTTTTCGGATTTCACGTCAACAGTAAAGTTTGCAGTTAATACTTAATATTGCTGAAGTCTCAAATCATCCTGAGATAATTCATCATTTGTGCATTTGTAATTCGACTTAGATGTTTATAGCAATACTGTACAAAAATAAAGATTTGGGTCAAACAATGAGACAGTTCTTTTTAATTTTTTTTTCCGTAGAATTGAATGGTGTAATCAGTTTTTGAATGTTTTTTAATTTAAACAAATTATCAACAATAAGTGAAAAATTCATTGTTGCAAGTCATTTTTTACTTTTTTGCATTTTTGAGCATGTTTTTGAAATGTTATTACAGATTTTTTTATTTCACCAAAAAGTATATGTCAAAACGAAAAAAATGATTACAGGCAGAACTCTGTACGATGATTTTTTTAAGTAGAATTTTTCTTTGAAAAAAAAGTGTTTCAGGCCGAAAAAGATGAATATCTCAGAAACTTCTTGATTTTTTTATCTAAAAAAAATTGAGGTTATTTAAGACAGAGAAAGGTATACTTTCACTAAGTTTCGTCAAAATTAAATTATTTTTGCGGAAATGAGAAATAAAAAACGAAAAATCAGAAAAAAACCTGTTTTTCGCATTTTTCTCGGAAATTTTGAGGTTATGTTAAAAAGTGACTTCTACAAAAGTTGTAGTTTTTTGCATGATATACAACTTTTGTATTAGATATTTTTTTGTTTTCATAACTTTTGTTATATAACTTATATATATATAACTGTTTTTTCATAACTTTTCAACCCCCCAAATCAACCCTCCGCCGCCCCTGCTCCCGCATTTGTTTTTTTTTTTTTAGGTTTATTATAAGCCCTTTTACCATTTCCACTTATAAAAGTCCAGGTATCAATTTTTTTTTCTCCAAGTGTCATTCGGTTGGACTAGGTCGGATAGGTGCTAGTCAGTTCAAGATGTCAAAACATACATACAAATCAGAATGTCAAGATGAGGATTCTATTTTCAT